ATCAATCCTCATGCTCGAGAGCCCCATCAGTCCACCAACTGGGGAGAGATTCCTCCCAGTAGAATATTCCACAGGGGCAGGTATGTCCCATTGGAAATCAAATCCTATTTCTTCCTTTTGACGGAGATAAGTAAGTCATTCTTTCCAAGGACCGAATGCCTCAGAGAATCTCCAAACTCTGATACAGTGAGCACTTTCTTGATTTCTATTCTCCATTGCCTGTAGATACCACTTCATTCAAGTAGATCATCTTGGTTTCTGAATCTCAGTAGTGGTCACTTTTCATTTATTTTATCTATGTTCTTTATAAGAACTAAAAGCAGTTTAAAATAGGCTACACATTAGTTTTAAACTCTTCTCTAGGTAAAAATGCATTTTTGTCTTTATTGAGGTCCTCTTGTGTATGATTCTGACTTTATTCAGAAACTAAGACCAAAATTAATGCTTGTGTTTCTCCCAGAGCAAAAGCTTTGAGAGGAATGGAAGGGCTTGCCGTTTCCTCTTTCCCTGAAGATGTGCTAGGGACAGGTGCTGTTCTTTCAGCTTGGGTCTCAGAGATCAGCTCTCTTAATCCTCCCATGGTCTGTAACATAGATGAAAGCTTGGGTTGTATAAGTAACTGATATTTGGGATGTGTTTATTGTTATATTTAAAACCCTATCCAATATATTTTTCCCCAATCAAATTTTAGGGAGTACAACTAGTCCAGATTAATCAATAATCAGAACAAAATTTTCACATACACTTAAATACATGGATAGACAACTGCTTAAGGTTTACAGCTCTGTATGTTATCAGTAGCAACATCTAAATCAAAATAAATATAATTATCATGTATGTATCTTAGAAATGAAATATTTATGCTACTCCATAATTAGTTGATTATGTGAATTTACTTAAACACAGTGTTAAAAAGTATTGAAATCATTTTCATTGTAATTTCCCTAAAACACAATGAAATAGAAAGAAACATAGTTATTCTGTTTGACAATGAGTGGATTGAAGCTAAGTAGTAAGTTCCAAGTCTGCAGGTGTCATATAAGTTCCTAATACAGTGCTCTGGACTCCAGAGGTGTTGTTTAAAAATAGCTTAATCCTTTACTATGTTAATTTGTTAAACAATACAAACTAAATGCAGTTTTTATTTGTTTGTTATAAAGACAATCTTGAAAATTATTGTTTGGTTAAACAGTAGTACTTTTCTGGTTGCATAGTAATTGTGATTCTTAGTTGTAGCAAAATAAATAATTGTTTTTTTAGAAATACATGTGGCTATTTATTCTATCCTGTGCCATAAATTACACTCTTGGAGCAGAATGTGCATATAAATCTTTATTTCTACTTCTTAACTGGGAGATAAAGAGATCTGGATGAATGAAAATAGGTTTAGTAAAAATAAGGCCAAACAATTCATATTCTTTAGAAAAATTGTTCTATGAGGCCCTCCTACTGGGAGCATAAGAAAGTCTCTTCTTGCTCACACCAGTTGTGGTAATTTAGATGGCTCTTTCTTATACATTTTGCTCTTGTGTTATAAACTTCTCCCATTTATCAAATCCCTTGAATTGACTTCTATAACTGAAAATACATCATCTGTCTGCAGTCATTGTTATTCAGTGTCTGCAGTGTCTGCTGTCTTTGAGCATCAATAGCTTGTCGTCCTTGTATCACAGTCCCCTGTGCTTT